TTTCCTTAAGTTTTAGAATTTTTTTAAATTCATTCGTTTTATTATTTTTTCTAGGAAAGATAATATTTTTCTTAATAAGCGTTAAAGCTTGGTTCGACTTTCGATTAGATTTCAAAAGTGTCGATAAATTTTCAAAAGCTTAGATACATATTTTTTAGGTTTCATTGTGGTTTTATGATTTTGAATTTTTACTAAAACTTCATAAATATTTTTGTAATTTTTTTATTCAGTTTTCTAGCGTTTCGTCAAGTTTTAAAATTTTTTTAGTTAGTTCGTTTTGTTATTGTTTTCAGGAAAGGTAGTACGTTTCTGACTAAAGTTTCAGTTCCATAACACTTAAGAGGACTAATAAATACAAATACAGGTTTTACATAACAAAATGTTATAAAGTTTTGGTAAATTTTGCTAGGTTATTAAGTTTCGATTAGTTTTCAAAAGCTTTGGTAGATTAAAATAACGTTTCGTTGAGTTTTATGAAGTTTTTCCATGATCGTTTTAATTAATTCGCTCAGCTATCTGGAGTTCGGTTAAGTTTTCGGAAATGTGTTTTTAAGTTGCGTTCAGCTTTTTTTAATCGTGTTAGAGATTTCGAACTTGTTGCAAATTTTTTAAATGTTTCGTTAAGTTTTCACGAGTTTCGTTAAGTTTTATAAAGCTTCAAAAATTTGTAAAAGCGAAGCTAGAAAAAGGCAATTTTAAATTGTTTTTTTCTCATTAAATTTTTGCATAATTGGAGCAATTCAAATTCATACCAATTATTGAACAAAATATTTTTTACTAAAATTCATGATATTTTTAGCTCGTTAAGTTTTTAATTACCTTTTTTTGGCATTTGGCTAACTTTTATTAACTATGTTTTACTTAGCTTTTGTATATTGTACATTTATTATTTGAAAAAAAGTTAAATATTTGTCAAAAAAGTCTTTCGGTATTTTCGTTAGTTGGCGCTGAGAGCGGGTATTTCGAGTTTTATTCGTCGCATCGGGTCATGCTATACTTTTTCAGAAAGCTCATTTCACGCGCTGACACGTGTTTGATTGATTGTCGTTTCTTTTAAGTCGTTCGTGAGTTATAGCGTCGCAAACATGGAGCCAAATAAAGAGAAAATACGGCATATTTTACAGTACTACTACGATAAAGACAAAAATGCAGCTCAAGCCGCCAATAGAATTTGTGCAGTTTAGGGACCCGATACAGTTTCCATTTCCACCGCACAAAGATGGTTTCAACGTTTTCGTTCTGGTGTAGAGGTGGTCGAAGATGCGCCTGTCGTCGAAAATTGCGATAAAATCGCTGAATTGGTCGAAAGAGACCGGAATAGTAGCAGCCGTAACATCGGTCAAGAGCTGGGCATGAGTCATCAAAAAAAAAAATGTTATGCACAATT